TTTCAAGCCCCAGGAAGTCATAGCCTCTGTCTCAAGGCTCGATCCCAGCTGGCGGCACATTGGAGCATTGGCTCTTTGTCCTGTCTCGACCTGGCTCACATTAAAGAGCAGCAGGTACAGGTTACCAGGGAAACATTCATGCCACCTTCAAAGACTATCACCAGCACCTCAGCTAGACCAATATACATTGCTTAGGGCCAGTTGAAGGATAAACAGAAGTCCTAGCCAGCTCTGTACAGAACAATACGAGGAAATGGGGTCAGGCTCAGTCAAAATGGAGACAGTCGCTCTTCTTTCAAGGAGCTGCTTCGCAATATCTATCATTCATTTTAGTTATTTGGGCTTTTTGATTTCTCATACAGAAGAAACAATATGATATTTCATTTTATGTCACTTAAAAAGTATAGTCTTAGGATGCATCTATTTACCAAAAAAACCTCAAGCCTATCCTTCTTCGCGGCAGGGTAGTATTCCATTATATATTTTTAAAAACACATTTTCTTTATTCATCCAATATTGAACACTTAGGTTGTTTGCAAGATTTAGGTATTATACATTGTGCTGCTATAAACTTGGGTGTTCATATATTGCTGTGGTATAATGCTTTTAACTCTTTTCAGGAAATTTTTTTTACTAGCTATTCCTCAGACAAAGGACTAATATCTAGAAAATATAATAAATTACCAAAAAAAGCAAACTTCCCAAATTTAAAGACCCAGTCCAAAGAATGGGCCTTTTGAAATGAGGCTTTTCTGAAATGAATAGACATTTCTCAAATAAAGAAGTACAAATAGCAAATGTATAGAAACAAAGTTAAACATTACTGGTCCTCCAAGATCCGTGAATTAAAACAGCTCTGAGATTTCATCTCATTCCAGAAAGAAAGGCTGTCATCAAGAAATAACCAGTAATAAATGTTGGCGAGGTTGTGGGGAAGAAGGGACCCTTCTTCACTGATGCGGGGAGTGTAGCTGGTGTGCCTGCTGTGAAAATCAGTGTGGAGATGCCTTAACAAGCTGAACCTAGAGTTTCCATTTGATCCAGCTTACTTTGGTGTCTCAAAATAGTTGCTGTTTTGACTGTGAGCAACAGTTTTCACCTTATAATATATCTGAGACAGGGTGGGGTGATGAAAGTCAGACGTCAACTTATGTTTTGGTTCACAGCATCCATCCATCCATCCATTGTGATACTGGGGATTGAACCCAGGGCTTTCACACTGTGCTACATCCCCAGGCTCTCCCTGCTTGTCTCAGTTACTCTTCTCTTGTTGCTGGGACAAATGCCTGACCCCCAAAATGAAGGAGGGAAAGGTTTATTTAGCTCACAGTTACTGGAGGTTTCAGTCCATAGTCAGCTGGCTCCAAGGCAGACTGGCACGTGGCAGATAACAGCAGTTCATGGCAGTGGGAGGCAGCAAGACAGCAAGAGCAAACAGGAGTTGTGACAACAATGGCTACAGAGAGCAAATCTGTCTGTCTCTTATTTTACATTCAGGCTGTCCACCCCAGGCCGGGTGTAGCACTCACACCCATAACCCCAGCAGTACTCAGACCCATAATCCCAGCCTTGGATCATGAATTACTCACAGACTTTTGAACTGTGCCCCAATGACTGCCTAAGGCTTTGGGGGGGACAAATACACACAAACCATAGCACTGCCTTTTTTTTTAAATTTGAGACAGTCTCACTGTCATTAAATTGCCCAGGCTGGGTTTGAAGTTGTGATCTTTTCCTCAGCTTCCAAGAATACTTGGATGGCAGGCATTGGTCAGTATCCCCCATCTGAGTCAGATGAGAAGGGACACGGTCAGGGTAGTGTGACCATAGACCTCCACACCTGATGCAAGGCTTTTAGGTGGGGAGGGGAGAGGAGACAGGACCAAGGAGGGAGGTCCAGACAGTGTTGCCCTGCCTGGATGCCATCTGGATGTGCCTTAGCCCTGCAGGCTGGGGCTTCTGGTCCTGACCTCCTTGCAAGGCTTGCCATTTGTGAGGACGCAAAGACTGCAGAAGGCAAGGCCTGTGGCCCACGCTCTGCAGTCGGCGAGCCCTGAGGGTTGTGTTTCTTAAGCTGAGGGGTCAGTTTACTTTTGGGTCTTTTTTCCTTTGAGTTCCTGTCCCTAGAAATTTTCTAATAAATTGAGTATCACTGGAAGTTTTAAGGAAGGGAAAGGATGGAGGCTTCCAAGGACCAAGGTGGTGCATAGCCTGGCAGTCTGTCGGCTGCCACATTTGCATTGTGCTGCGGTGCCTTTTCTTAATGGCTTCTCGGCCTTCCTTCCCATCTGCTGAGTAGCTATGTTTTTAGGGTGTCAATGATGTGCTTTAAAAATCTAAATGTTTAATGATTCTCATTCTGCTTCTGCTTTTCTGCTTCTGATTCTTATGCTGTTTTTCTCTAGTTTCAGTTCCCGCTTGGCTGTGGCTGCTCAGGCCTGGGACAGTTCCTATTTCCAGGGACAGGTGCCCTGAGGCTGGTTTAATGGGAAAGTTCATGGGTGGCTTGGTGGAATTTCTCACAACAGTTTTAGATTCACAGCAGAGTGGCCCAGAGCACAGAGTGCTTCTGTGGACCTTTCCTCAGCTTGCCCTGATGTCAGTGTCTCAGGTAACCTGGCGCATGAATCAAAACTGGCAGCATGTCAGCACCAGTGCCGTACCATAGCTGAACTCTGTTGGCGTTTCCCCACCATCCAGTCACTCTAGCTTTGGGTGTTTTTAAACATCAGTGTGTCCTGTGCGGTTACACAGAAATCTTCCTCTAGAGTAGAGCACCAGCGGGGATCCCTGCAGTGAATCCCCAGTTTCCTGCAAGGTGTCACAGTGCACAGTGAAAAGAAAGAGCAAGGGACAAGTAGCAATGCAGCAGGAATCTGGGGTGACCAGTTGTTCAGGGGAGCAAAGGCCAGGAGGCTGCCAGAGCCTTGGTATTTATCTCTCACATTTACACTGCAGGAAGTGGGGTGGGATTATTGAACGACTCAGGGCAGTGTGACCTTAATCTACCGAGGATCTTACATGGATATGGAAGGTGGGCAGAGATGGCAGGTTACTAAAAAGTTTGTCCTTTCCCTCCAAGCAAAACATTTTTGTGTGTGTGTGCCTTCAGCTGACATAATCTTGCCCTACGGTGTCACAGCCTCATGGGACTGCAGAGGTCTCAACTATGACCTGTGGTACACAGAGTTACATTTCTGCATGCTGCAGTCAGTTCACATGGCAAAATACTAGGCCTCAGATAAGCCCTAATTACAATTTAATTACAAAATGATTTTCCCCACAACATTATATAGAATGGCCCTTGGCCCTCTGTGTATTAAACATTGTGCAAAGAAGCTAGGTGGCAGACTTCACCCTGGGTGGCAAGACGGGCACAGGAGGTGCTGGTTCTCCAGTCACACATTCCACAGGGCTTTTCCAGAAGGGCAGTCACAGAACTTGGAGTGGCAGGCGCTGCCAAAGGCCAGAGCTGCGATGCCTGGGGCAGCTCTCTTGTCTCTAGGCCTCGTTTTCCCCATGGGTTCATCAAGAGGATTGGGCCTTGTCCCAGTGGCTCTCTCTAGCTCTGATGCAGAAGTCCTCGGTGCCCAGATCAGTCCATGTGTAGGACTGCCTTCTGTTCTCATGCCAGGCAGGGTCACTTGTGGGTCAGCATTTGGACTGGGGTCCCAGAGAAGCCTTTACTGGCTCTGTCCCTCAGTGAGCCCAGTGACACTGATCTGAAAGTTTCCTGGGCAGTGTGCATGTCCTCTGTGGTCACACTGGCCATTTGGTGTCAGCAAGGCCACGTCAGAGCCACAGTGATTAGTTGACTTCACCTTTGCCCTGAGACTGTCCTGTCAGCTGGTTTTCTGCCCGTCAGCCCAGTCTTGGGTGTTTAAGGGAGGGTGTGCACAAATGGAAGAGTCAACAACCCTTCCTTCCTTCTCAGGCCACGCCTGTCAAGAGTCAGGTCCTTTCTGCTACTCTCAGTCCCAGCCAGAAAAGTGTGGAACTGCCTGCCACACATGGACATTAAAGCAAGGCCACAGCCAGGCTCAGTTCCTTGGTTTGGGATCCGTCTCTTTGGGTAGTTGGTCAGCTGAGCCCCACCCACATCGGTGTATAAGTGAAGTTAACAGGAACACAGACATGAGCCTGTACTTACATGGTGCTTGGCCACTGTGGAAGGCAGAGCCAGGTACCTGTAGTGTGCACAAGCCACAGGTATTTGTCATCTGGCCCTTTACAAACTTGTGTGCTTGTCCTTATATATGGCACTCTGAGGAAGAGGTGATCCCTACTCACCCCCGCATTTTCTTCTGACCAGGTTTCTTAGGCTTCAGCCTCTGAGTGGGCTTCCTTGGTGGCTGGCCTAACTCACAAAGATCTGCAGGCCACTGCTTTGTGGGTATCAAAAGCAGCCTCTGGCAGTCCAGCTGGGCTAGGGATGAGTCCTGAGGGAGGCCCTCAGAGCCTGGCCCGTGTGCCTCAGATGACTCCCGTTAAGCCCTGTGGTTGTGTCAGTCTCTACCATGGTTGCCCTGGGGCTATACTCTTGAAGTGGGAGGGGGTGTGTGTATGTGTATGTGGTGTGTGTGTGTGGTGTGTGTGTGTGTGTGTGGTGTGTGTGTGTGTGTGTGGTGTGTGTGTGTGTGTGTGAGGGGGGGGAGGGAGAGGGAGAGGCTGCCTCTGTGTTGCGGTGCCACATGTGCTGTTGAGCAGAGAAGCCCCACATGTTCTCCTGCTCTGAGGTTGGGTTTGACATACCTTGTGCAGATCAGGGTGGAGGGGCTTGACTCCAAAGACTGGAATGATCTGATTCCTGAAGAAGTCACCGGGTCCTTGAGACTGTGCTGTCAGAGTAGGTCAGCTGGTCTCGAAGCAGGTCTACATTTGAGGTGAAGGCTTAGGATGGGAAGGTGGCGGCCTGGGCAGGCTTGTGGGCCTTGCGAGTTGTTCTTTGTGGGCTCTTTGCATCTCCCTGACCATCCCTCACCCCTGGCTTCTCTCCCCAGGCTGGCGCCCATGCGGCTCTACACACTGTCCAAGCGCCACTTTGTGCTCGTGTTTGTGGTCTTCTTCATCTGCTTTGGTCTGACCGTCTTTGTTGGGATCAGAGGTAAGTTTCGTTTCTAAGCATGCCATCATTTCCTCTTTCCCAGCCCCCATGGTGTCCATGCCTCGGCCGGCCCAGAGTGCCTCTTGTTTCCCCTGTGGTCCAGTGTGGGCAGAGGTGAGCCCCTTCCTCCTGAGCCACAGGGCAGATGGGGCTGGCCCTGTGCTTCAGCGAGCAGGCCGAGTCCCTGTGGCCATGTCCTAGCCAGCAACCAGAGGCCCCTCCTCAGCTTGGCAGCACTGGCAGCCTGGTCACCTGCCATTTATTGGCCAAGTAAACAGTCCTGGTCTGTTAGGTTCTGTGGAATCCAGAATCCACTCCCTGATGGATAGACAGGCTGCCCCGAGGTCTTGATGCAGTGAATAAAGCTGAGGGTCATAGCTACGAGCATGGGGTGATAGTGGAGTGGGGGCCCAGGTGGTGCTCTGGTGACCCCCTTGAGCTCTTGGCAGGGCCCCAGGAAGATGGCTGGCAGTAGCTTGGTGGTTCCGACTGGGTGCCTGCAGCTGTACCTTTGCCCTTGCTCGAGGGCACCTTGCTGCTCCATGCAAGTTATTTGGAGGGAAGAGCTGTACTGTGATGATCTGGGCTTCAAAAAAGCCTCTGAGGGGCCAGGGAGATGGCTCAGTAGAATAAGCGCTTGCCTGGCATGCACAAGGGCCTGAGTTCAAGCCCTGGTTCCACAAAAAAAAAAAAAAAAAAAAGCCTCTGAGGGGGCCTGCCCCTTAGCTCAGTTGTTTAAGTGTCTGCTTAAACAAAGCAGTCAGGCTTATGATACTGTGGTTCAATCCCCAGATCCTCAAGCCAAACCAGACCTGCCCTGAAGGCTTCCTGAGCCCACCCAATCTGAAATGCTCTAGGTTGGCCACTGTCCAAAAACACAGACCCAAGTGGCTTTCAGTAGTTTTTACAAGGTTTTCAGAAACTGGGTCTCAATCCTGTCTAGAGGGCAGGCAACAGGAGCCTGGTACATGTTGGAAAATAGCTGTTTCTCTTTCACTTCTTTCTTTCTTTTCTTCTTCTTTCTTCTCTTCCCTTCCTTGCCCCCTCTCTTCCCCTTCATACTGAGAATTGGACCCAGGGCACTCTACTGAGTTACATCCCCAGTCCTTTTTATTTTGATACAGGTCTTGCTAGGTTTCCCAGGCTGATTTTGAATTTATGATTCTCCTGCCTTAGCCTTATTTCCCAGTCGCTGGACTCACCAGCCTGCACTACCACACCTGCCTTCTTTCTTTATCCTCTTAAGTAAAGTTTCATTGAGTGATTTCTAGGAGCTGTCTATTTCATGGGTGCACTTCGCAGCAAAAGGTAACTGACAGCGAAGCTTAACCTTCCTCATAAACATGGTGCTTCAGAAGGCTACTTTCCTACCTCAACTGAAACTTGGGCTGTGCATAGCCTGGGGAGCAAAGGAGAGAGAGTGGCCATTTTGCTCACTCACTGACGGTAGGGGTGGCAGCAATAGGGGCTCAACCTTAAGGAAATTTGTACACATGCTACTATGTGGATGAATCTTGATGTTATATGAAGTGGTCTACGCTAGTCACGAAAGACAAATATGATGTCGGTGTCATTCTGCTTACATGAGACATATTGGGAAGTACAAATCAGAAAGAGAGAAGATAGGAAGGTGTTTGCAAGCAGCTAAGGGGAGGTAGCATAAGGAGTTACTGTTTTTAGGGATAGAGTTTCAGTTTTACAAAACGAAGAGTTATGGGTATGGACAGTAGTGATGGTTGCACAGTGTGAATGTACTTACTGCTACTGAAGTATACACTTAACATTGGTTAAGATGGGCTGTGTGTGGTGGCACACTCCTAAAACCCCGGCACTTGGGAGGCTGAGGCAGAAGGATTGATTGAGTTGGAGGTCAGGCTGGGCTCCATAGTGAGTTTCAGGCTAGCCTGAACTATAAAGCAAGTCCCTGTCTAAGAAAATAAAAGGTAAGATAGTAATGCTGATTTTATGTTATCTTTCACCCATGATTTAAAAAAATTGGTAAAATGGAAATTGTGCAACTTTTTTTTTTTTGTATTTAGTACAGGGTCTATAGGGCCTACAGGGTCTCACTACATAGATCAGCCTTGTAGTGATTCTCCTGTTTTCAGCCTCCCAAACTCTAGGATTACAGGTACGTGCCACCATGCCCAGTCTCAATCACCATCTCAGCATGCCCTGGGGGTGGGGCAGCACAGCAGGCCCAGGGATCGAACCCCAACCCCTGTGCGCTGCCTAAGCAGGTGCTTTAGTTCACTGAGCTATCTGGCCGGCCCTTGTGCAACTTCTATACCTCTTACTTCTGGTCAGCAAAAGATTTATTCTTGGATGCTTACGTTAGCATATATCATGCTTTGTTATATTTCTCTATTTAATAAAATGTTTTTGCAAGACTGGATCAATTAGATGAATACATATGTGTGTCTTTGTGGTTTGGAAGAATTCTTTGTACTTCACAGACTACTTAGTGGATGTCAGCATAGTAACAACCACCGTGGTGCCATGTGCTGTAGGGACAGCCCTCATTGAGAGCTCTGGACAGGGTTTGCTGTGGAAGCCCCAGTCAGCCTTGATCCGTGCAGGGCAGTTGTGGTGCACAGCGCCGTGGCTGACCTGTGTCTGTCTGTGTGTTTTACCTACATTTATGAGATCTAAAGAATGACCAGGCAGGTATAATGTATGAGTGTTTCTTGGCATTTGAAAGTTAAAATCAGTAAATTATGATATAGACATAAGTGCTTTTTTCCTTCTCTTTTTTTACTTTTTAGGACCCAAAGTGATCCAGACTTCTGCAGCTAATTTTTCACTAAATAATAGCAAAAAGGTAAGGCTGAGGCTAAGTGGGGTTGTGGGAACTTATGAACTTCAGGTCACTGGGAAATGGCTCTGCTAAGAGGATCTTGAAGATAGACTGGCTTGGCCTGCAATTTGTGTCTGAAGCAGTATCTCGTCCCTTTTTCTGGTACTGGGGATTGAACCCAGGGCTTGTGAATGCCAGGCGGTGGTTTATGCTGAGCCTCACTCCAATCTCTATACACATATTTTTTTATTCTACCATCAGCTGTTGGCCTCTTGGTTCTTTCTTGCTAAAATTATTTTTTCTGCTGTAATAAATACCTAGGTACTTAAGAAATATGGATGTATTCCCCCTTAGGGAGTAGTAATTCACTTCCAAAGAGTAATTAACTCATCCAGATTCATTGTATCTCTTAAGTACAATTAGCTTATAAGCTTTAACGATGACTACTTAGGTCTCTGAACCTTTCTTACCGTATTTGTCCAACTCAGGTCTGTGTTCCTGTATTTTCTTTAGCTCTTGAGCAGATGGTTTGATTTGGAGAGGGGCTGACAGTAGGAGTTCCCTGACAGTAGCTGGTCTTCTATATTTCTGCTTCTTAGGGTGTAAGCTTCTCTTTGACATTGAGCATAGTAGCTGTCCCACTGAATGGACTTACTTCCAAGAGACCTTCCTCTTTCAGAAAGATAGTATCTTGTCTTCTGATAGGTTTCTTTGCTGGTTGGTTTTTGACAAGTCTTTGGTCTCAGGAGTTTTTTTGAGACCCATTTTGTACATTAAAATACAATATTCACTTGCAAAGATGATGCCCTTACATGATACTTTGCTTTGGAACTGCAGCTTGGTACCTTAATCAGCCAGTGTGTCCCCCTGCTGTTAGACGCCAATAAAACACCAATATTGTTTGACAAGATACTGCAGAGCAAATAAATGTATGAGAAAATACTTAATATCACTTGCCATTTGAGAGATGCAAATTAATGCTGAGAGTCCATCTCACTCCAGAAAGCATAGCTATTATCAAGAAATCAACTACTAACAAACTCTGGACGGGCTGTGGCCGAAAAGGAGCCCTTCTGTACTATTGGAGTGTAGACTGGTGCAGCCACTGTGGAAATCAGTGTTGAGAGTCCTCAAAAAACTAGGACCAGAGATACATTTGACCCAGCTATTTCTCTTCCTGGTATCTTCCCAAAAGAATTAGAAGCATCATACCACAGAGACATATGCACACCCATGTTTATAGCGGCACAGTTTGTAATAGCTAAATCTTGGAAGCCATCCAGATGACCATCAGCTGATGAGTGCATAAAGAAGATGTGGGTTTCTTTCTTTCTTTTTTTTTTCTTCTTTTACCATGAAGTGCTACTCTTGAGACATTTCTAGCTAAATAGATGCATGTTGAGACCATACTCCTAAGTGACATAAATTGGACACACATGGGTTTTTTTAACGTATTTAGTACAGGGCCTACAGGGTCTCACTACACAGATCAGACTCGTAGTCATCCTCCTGTTCTCAGCCTCCCAAGCACTGGGATTATAGGTGTGTGCCACCACGCCCAGTCTTAATCTCGGCCTCAGCGCACCCCAGGGTGGGGTCTGCACAGCATGCTGGGGATCCAGCCCAGTCCACTGAGCTATCTGGCCAGCCCTTGAAACACACATGTTTAAATATTGCATTATTTCTCTAGTGTGAGAAACAAAGTGTAAATAAAGAATGAAAATGTACAACAGATACTGGGAAACTGAGAATGTTCAAATGAGGTGAACAAAGGAGTGGGGAAGGGGAAAGGAAAGAAGGGACAAGAAAAAATGTGAACAAAGTTTTTGTTAATAAGGAAAAGAGGAACGGGGGTTGAAAAGGGAGGGGTATCAGAGGGGGAAAAACAGCAGCAAGATGTATCATGTATAGGCACAAACTCCCTATGATGAATTTTGTCATTGTGTATATCTAAATTGTACCAATAAAATAAAACATACAAGACACTGCAGAAAGATCACTGGCAACATAGCCCTGTCTATTTTTTCTTTCCAAGGCATTGAGACTTTAATGGATAAAGCTAAAAAATAAGGGATGCTAAACAGTGACATGTCTGGCTTACTATAATAGTGAAGAAAGAATTATTGAGACACATTACCTTGTGCATATGAATGTGCTTCCTTGGTGTCTTTTGTTATTCTGTGTCCCTCATTCTGCTGTTTTCATTCTTTACCCCAAAATGGCTTTCTAGGGAAGGGTCTATAGGGTGTTCAGGGTCTCACTAGTAGATCGATGGGACTGGTAGTGATCTATCTGCCTGTTTACAGCCTCCCAAGAGCTGGGATTACAGGTGGGCACCACCACGCCCAGTCTCAATTGCTGTCTCAGTGTGCCCCGGGGGTGGGCCTGGCACAGCAGGCCCTGGGATTGAACCCCTGCCCCTGCGCCTGCTTGCAGGTGCTTTAATCTGCTGGGCTGTTTGGCCGGCCCGAAGATGGCTTTTTCTTGTGTTTGAGGATGTGTGTTGTCCCAAGGCTCCAGGTGGTAGAAACCACCTGCTTTCAGGTTTTGATGAAATGGGAATTACTAGCAGCTAGGAGTGCGTCCTTCCTTCTGGAAGGCAGCATTACTCTACATTGTCAAAAGGAAAGCTGTTTTTTCAGAGCTAATGCTCAGGCCTTTTTGCTAAATATAAATTTTGCATGGTAAGATGTGGTATTTTTCAATGAAATGGTCACATGAATTGCTTTCTTTTCTTTTACTTCAGCTGAAGCCAATCCAAATACGTTCAAATCCGCTGTCTACATATAATCAGCAACTGTGGCTGACATGTGTTGTCGAGTTGGAGCAAACAAAAGGTACGGGCCTGACAGTTGGGGATGATTTTTCTAGCTCAGACTCTGCGCGTGTGTGTGCGCATGCGTGCGCACGGTACTAGGATTTGAAACCAGCGCCTTTGCATGGAGCTACCTCCTCAGACTGTTTTTGAGTTTTTATTTTGAGACAAGAACTTGCTGCACTGCCCCCAGACTGGGCTTGAATTTGTAATCTTCCTGCCTCAACCTCCATCTGCCACCACACCCAAGCTGTCATATTTAAAAGGTTGCAAGAACTTGAAGGTATTTGGACAAGTGCTGAAAGATAAGTGTAAGCATCTCGTTGCTATTTATAGCAGCAGTAAGTTGAGGCCGCGTAAGCATCTCCCCACGGGAAATGTAGTTCTGCTCTCTCTGGAGAGCACCTGACAGCCCAGCTCAGTGGAGCTCTGGCAGGGAATTAAGTCCTAATGCCTAAAATAGTGATCGCGCCCATCAGGGACACTAGCAGTGTCTGGGGACAATTTGGTTGTCTCCGCTGGGGAGGATGAGCGGAGACAAGGGTGCGCCAAATGCCCTGCCTTGCAGAGGACAGCCGCCTACAGCAGAGAACCGCCCAGCCCAGGATGTGGCCTGTGCCAGGGCGGGGAGCCTGCCCTAAGGCAGCCACTGTGTATGATGCACAGCTAGAAGGACACGCGCCTAAATGCCGCTGGTTTTGTATTGTCCTTGAGAGAGTTGAGAAGATGGTCAGCCACATTCTTTTCTGTGAGGTACTCTGAGAAGAATTTGGGTAGAGAACCCTATGAGTATAGTAAATGAAATAGAAAAGATACATATTACAAAAAGTTTCCCTTTTTGGCAATATTTTAAAAAGCAAAAACAAATTTTTATCGTTATATACTTGTAAGTTCAGAAAAGGGCCTACATGGGTGTGCGCAAAAATGTTACAGTTGTGTCTAGGTGGTGGAATTGTAAATGCTTAGTGCCATTTTTATATTATATTATATGATTTATTTATTATGTATTTGGCACAGGATCTCACTACACAGCTCATACTCATAGTGAGCCTCTTTTTCAGTCTCCCCAGTGCTGGGATTACGGGCGTGCACCACCACGCCTGGTCTCAGTGGCTGGCTCCGCGCACCTGAGGGCAGGGCTGGTGCCGTATGTGGTGCCAGGCATGGAACCCTGGTCCCTGTGCTTGCCTAAGCAGGCACTTTGTCTGCTGAGCTATCTCACCAGCCCTGTTCTCTGATTTTTTTTTTATAATGAGAATATATTTATTGTTTTTAAAAATGTATTAGTACATGTTTTCAGTGTATGATTGCATCCATCTTGGGGAATTGTCACATGTACATAATACATCTTAATTCTCTTTTTCCCATGCCCCTCCCTTTTTTCCTCACTTCTTCCAACTCTTGATCCTTTTCCCATTTGGTGCAAAGGCTCCATTTCTATGTTTTGTTTTGCTTCAATTCTTTAGTTTTTTCCTATCCCCCTATCTCCTATTGCTTCCCCCTCCTTCCATCTCTTATATCTTTTTCCTTTTTCCTTTTTTTTTTTTTTTTTTTTTTTGTACTTATGTGTGTGTGTGTGTGTGTGTGTGTGTGTGTGTGTGAGTGTTTGTACTTAGGACAGGGCATACAGGGTATACAGGGTCTCACTGTGCAGGTTGGACTTGTAGTGATCCTCCTGTTTACAGTCTTCCAAATCCTGGGATTACAGGCGCACACCAGCACACCCAGGGCGGGGCCAGCATGGCAGGCCTGGGGATCTTTTTCCCTTTGAAAAAGATCTCCCTACTTATGATTTTTCTCTTATTTTGCTCCTTATTTGTATTTTGGGTTTCACATATCAGGGAACCATGTGATGTTCTTTATCCGTTCATCTGTTGATGGGCATGTAGGGCCATTTCCAAGAGTTAGCTGCTGTGAATTGTGCAGCTGTGCACATCGGTATGCATGCATCACTGTTCTATCTGGGGAGATACCTAGAAGTTACTAATAGCAGTTGAAGTTGTTAACTTGAACACATGTGCCCACATATGAGCTAAATTGAATTTCTATTTGTAGTTTTTTTGTGACATGTCCATACTAACCTCCAGAATTGTTTTAGTTACTCTTCTCTTGTTGATGGGATGAATACCTGACACTCAAATTGAAGGAAGGAAAGGTTTATGTAGCTCACAGTTACTGGAGGTTTCAGTCCATATTTAGCTGGGTCCAAGGCAGAGCAGCACACAGCAGAAAGCAACCTTTCATGGTGGAGGCAAAGAGCGAGAGCAAAAAGGAGGAGTAGCAGCAGCTCAAGCAGCTAGCTTCTCTTCCCTCCTTACACTGTAATGCAAATTACCTGCCCCAGGGCAGGCACAGCACCCACACCCACAGCAATCAATCACAAACTCCAGAAGCTGCCCCAAGACTGTGTGAGGTTCTAAGGGGACAACTATACACAAACCATAACAAGAGTGATC